GCCCATTCGTCTCTGAGGCCACAGGCCCGGGAGGGACTGCGCTGATACTGGGCTGGGACAGCCATCCACTGGGGGAAGGCAGCGGCCCCCTACGCCGCCTCCCTGCCCCGTTCCAGCACCTCAGCCTGGTTCAGTCTGGTTTCCTCTGGGCAGAGGCAAGAGCGAGCTTGAAAGGGAGGGTGAGAAATTGAACTCTGCAAAAAAAAAAACCAACTCTTCCTTGGCAGAGGCAGTAAGTACCTCAGTGGGTTTCTTCTGCCCGGACTTTGCGTGGTTGCTTGTTACCTCTCAAAAGCAGGCATGTCTTCGGCCTGGCGTCTGTTGCGTTTAGCCACAAAAGCAACAGAAAAGCCAAACTCTTGTCAAGGCCTCCAGTAGCCTACCTAGAAGCGAGAAATAGCTCATCTAAAATAGCCCCAAATAAGTAACTTTCTTAGAAACTTCACCCACCTGGCAAACTGAACGGCTTGGCAGCTTCCCATCTGACGGTGGGCCATGGTGTGCAGCGGGATGTGCGAATGGTAAACAAATGCTTCAACGCCAACCTGAGCTGTGAGATTTCAGGCCTCAAAGTGTCAGCTATGTCCGGACCAGCAGAAGTGCTTGCGTGGCTGCTTCTCCAGTGCATATGTCGGGTGTCTGGGCTTTCCTCTTTGTCTTGTTCCTGGGAGTCTGCAGGAGGAACGGAGGGGCACAGCACCCTGTAAGGGAGCTTTGCTTGTTGGAGGCTGGCCTCTGGCCCAGCTTTGTTGCACTTGAGGAGGTGGGAGAGTTTAAAGGTGAGTGATGCTGCCCTGCAGAGCTCTGCTGACTGGGGAAATGGTGCGGGTGATGTAGGGAGTCCTGCCTTGACTGTGAAATAGGTTGAGTCTCTGCGACCCCAGAAGGGCAAGTCCCTGTATGATTTGGCAGGGCACACCTGCCTACCCCTTATGGAGGAACTCCAGCTGGGTTCAGAGATACCATGTCCTTCCCTTACAGCTGACACCAGGAGGTCCCCAGGGACAGGTTCAAACCCTAAACCCTTCCTCTCTCTCTGCCTATAGGATTGGTTTAGCGGGACATGAGGAATTAATGAGAAGAAAGGTGTTTCCCCCTTTCAGAGGCTGTGCAGAGTTCCTGATGCCTTCCATCTCCCTTTCTTTGCTCCCTAGAAGCTTGCTGGTGTCTTTGGGGCACCCCTTTGCTCCTCAGAAAAGCCCCTTCTGTGAGCTGCTAACAAACTGAATTCACATGCACTATGCAAAAGCCTGCAGCTGTTGTCTCACTAAATTACTAAATTCAAGGAATGTTGCAAAAAAAACAGATGTGAGGAGGAAAACCATGGCTTAACATAGCCCTGACTTGCCGTCTCCTTTCTGTATTATTGTCCTGGTTTTGGGTGGGATAGGGTTAATGTTATTCATAGTAGCTAGTTTTGGCTATGTTTTGGATTTGTGCTGAAAACAGTGTTGATAACACAGGGATGTTTTTGTTATTGCTGAGAAGTGCTTACACAGAGTCAAGGCCTTTTCTGCCTCTTACACTGCCCTGCTAGCAAGTGGGCTGGGGGTGCACAAGAAGTTGGGAGGGGACACAGCTAGGGTGGCTGACCCCAACTGACCAAAGGGATATTCCACACCATATGATGTCATGCTCAGCTTATAAAGAAGAAGGGAGAGACACATGTTCAGAGCGATGGTGTTTTTCTTCCCAAGTCACCGTTACATGTGATGGAGCCCTGCTTTCCTGGGGATGGCTGAGCACCTGCCTGTCGATGGGAAGTAGGGAATGAATTCCTTGATCTGCTTTGCCTGTGTACGCAGCTTTTGCTTTACGTGTTAAACTGTCTTCTGATTCTCTCTCCCATCCCACTGAGGGAAGGCGGGGGTGTGTGTGTGTGTACGGAATGAGCAAGTGGCTGTGTGGTGCTTAATTGCTGGCTGGGGTTAAACCACAACAATTATATAGACATTTAGTGGTTATAGAGGGAATTTAGGAGTTGAATGCAGACGTCCTTTATAATATTTCTGCCGCAAAGATGCTCTACAAGACGTTAAGTGACATAAGTGTTCTATTATTAACATACTGTTTGTTCCTGTTACAACTTGAATTGAAGAGCCAGCCCTTTGGGGGAGTGGCTCAAAGACTTTGTGTCTTTAGAGGAAGATGAATGCAACCCTGATGATGATAAGAAGGCATGTTCACTCCTGCCCTTTGTCACTTTGTCCCCTTTGTCACTTTGTCACTTTGGGTGCACCTTCTGGGGGAAGGGTTATGCTAATGTGGATTTATTGTGGAGAGAGGCTAAACTGTCTGCAGTTCTGTTAGCACAGGCGAGGATGGCATGTGCTCCCAGCCCAGTGTCAGGTACCTCTGTGCAGCCCCTGCCCTGCTTCACTGAACCATGGGAAGGAGGCAGCGCATAGGAGGCTTTCAGAGGGGTTGTGTGGAGCCCATCAGAGCTGTTGTTGCAGTCCCCACAGAAGTCCCAGTTGCATACCCTCTGGGCAGGTTACAGAGAAACCTGCTCATATAGCCTGGCTCTGTTGGAGGCAGCACTGTCAGAGCTCTTCAGCCAAGGCAGCAGTGGCAGTGAAAAGCTTCCAGTACTGTCACATGGACAGGTATGGATATCTGTAGAAGCTTGTAAGCAGAAGGGTACAAATGACTCAGCATCTTTGCTGTGACTCTGGCAGAGCCTCTTGGCAATGGTTTAAATTTAGTGATGCTACCTTTCTATTGCTAGCTTGTGTGGTGTCTGTCTGATAGAAGGAAGGAGGAGAGAACAACTGCTAAGCCATAAATTGCTTAGAGATTGTTAAACCACATGAGCAAACTGACACTGGGGATTAAACAGGAACTAGGTCTGACAGGTCTGTGGAAACTAGCAAAGCAGTGTGCAGCTGAAGTGGCTTTTGGTGATGACCGCTGTGAGAGCCTGGATGCTCGACTAAGAGGAGCATATGTCTTACTTAAGAATATTTTAAGCTTTGCCTGTGAAAGTCAGTTGTGACACCCCACTTCCAAAACAGGTAACAGGCAGAAGTCTGAGCCCAGAAAGTGTGCTTAGATGAAGGGATGGCTAAAACTGAAAGATTCAGTGTTTGGGTCTCCAAATACACTGCCTGCTGAGTGTCATGGTATAGCGTCACTTTGACAAAAGCTCCTGATAACTGCCACAGTGCTTCTAAAGTAATCTCCAAACCATTCCAAAGAGTGCCTTGACTACTGTGAGAGCAGGGATCCTGATTCCTAAGTGTCCTTGCAGATAAAATAAACCATAACATTGATGGTTAGGATGAGATTTAAAAAGCTTTCAGGAAGTTAGGAACTCCACACCCAGTATTTTAAAATGCATGAAGTACTCCACACTGGATCAGTAAATTCTACTTCTTCATTGCATCGCTTTCAGCACTTTTTCAAAGAACAGAGCAAGCAATTCATCTGCCACTTTTTTATCACATTTTTTTGTCTTTAACTTGCCCCCTACTTCTCCTCTCTCACTGGAAGGGCAGGGTCACTTCTCAGTTCAAACACATGCATGTATTTCATGTATGAAATTTCCTGTTTCTGGTTTTGGTCCCAATTCAGGACAGAACTGTGAGGGAAGCCATGTAAGAGTCTAAATCCCACTAGGTTGTGTAATACTTATTCATGTTGTTTCAATTTAGGTACGTAATCAAGTACATCCTGAATAGGTTGTTTTCCTAAACAGAGACATTTCTGGTGCTCCATAACTTCATAGTTATTTATAGTAATTTACTGATCTGGTTAATTAAATGCATATAATGCATACAGAATATACAAGTTCAATGTGATATTGTACTGTGAAATGGAACTGCCAACAGAAACAGAAATCTCTATATGAAGAAGATCACAGGATCACAGAATTGTTGAGGTTGGAAGCGACCTTTGGAGGTCATCTGGTCCTAACCCCCTGCTCAAGCAGGGCCACCTAGAGCCAGTTGCCCAGGACCATGTCCAGACAGCTTTTGAATATCTTCAAGAAGGGAGACTCCACAACCTCCCTGAGCAATCTGTGCCAGTGCTCAGTCACCCCCACAGTAGCAAACTGTTTCCTGATGTTCAGACAGACCCTCCTCTGTTTGATTTTGTGTCCATTGCCTCTCGTCCTGTCAGTGGGCACCACTGAAAAGAGCCTGGCTCCGTCTTCTTTACACCCTCTATTCAGGTATTTATATACATTTATAAGATCCCTCCTGAGCCTTCTCTTCTCCAGGCTGAACAGTCCCAGCTCTCTCAGCCTTTCCTCATGGAAGAGATACTTCAGTCCCTTAATCATATTTGTGGTCCTTCGCTGGACTCTATCCAGTGTGTCCATAGCTCTCTTGTAGAGGAGTCCAGAACTGGACATAATACTCCAGGTGTGGCTTCACCAGTGCTGAGCAGAGTGGAAGGATCACCTCCTTCGACCTCCATAAGCACAGCACAGCTAGCCAGTCGAGGGAGGTGATTGTTCCACTCTACACTGCACTGGTGAGGTCCCACCTCGAGTACTGTGTGCAGTTTTGGGTGCCTCAGTGTCAGAAGGACATCAAACTAGTAGAATGTGTCCAGAGGAGGGCAACCAAGATGGTGAAAGGTCACAAGGGCAAGACTTAGAAAGAGCACCTGAGGTCACTTTGTTTGCTCATCTTGGAGAGGAGAAGGCTGAGGGGTGACCTCATCACAGTCTACAACTTCCTCAAGGGGGAGCAGCAGAGGGGGAGGTGCTGATCTCCTCTCTCTGGTGACCAGTGATAGGACAGAAGGAAATGGAATGAAGCTGCATCAGGGGAAGTTCAGATTGGACATTAAGAAAAAGTTCTTCACTGAGACCATGGTGGGTCACTGGAACAGGCTCCCCAGGGAAGTGGTCACAACACCAAGCCTGTCAGAGTTCAAGGAGCATACAGTCACATGATTTAGTTTTGGATAGTCCTGCGAGGAGCAGGGAGTTGGACTTGATCCTTATGGGTCCCTTCCAACTTGAGGTATTCTATGATTCTATGATCTGCTTTGCCTGATGCAGCCCAGGATAGCATTTTCCTTCTTTGCAGCAAGGGGACATTGCTGGCTCATGTTCAACTTGGTGTCCACCAGGACCCCCAGGTCCTTTTTTGCAAAGCTGCTTTCCAGCTGGTGGTGTGCATGGTTGTTCCTCCCCAGCTGCAAGACTTTGCACTTCCCCTTGTTGAACTTCATGAGGTTCCTGTCAACCTGTTTCTCTATCCTGTTGAGGTCCCTCTGGATGGCAGCACAACTCTCTGGTGTATCAGCCACTCCTCCCAGTTTTGTGTCATCTGCAAACTTGCTGAGGATACACTCTGCCCCATCACCCAAAACATTAATGAAGTATTAACCTTGGGGCACGCTGCTAGTTAATGGCCTCCAACTAGACTTTGTGCCACTGATCACCACCTTATGGGCCCAGCCATTCAGCCAGTTTTCAGTCCACCTGACTGTCTGTTCATTCAGCCCATACTTCCTCAGCTTTCTCTACAGAAAATAGTGTTGAAAGCCTTATTCAAGTCTAGGTAGACAATATCCACTGCTCTCCCCTTGTCTACCAGGCGAGTTGTTTCATCATAGAAGGTTATCAAGTTAGTCAAGCATGACTTCCCATTGGTGAATCCTTTCTGAGTACTCCCGATGATTTTCCTCTTCTTCCTGTGCCTGGAAATGGTTTCCAGGATTACCTTCTCTATCACCTTCCAGGGATTGAGTTGAGGCTGACTAGTCTGTAGTTCCCTGGGTCTTCCTTGCCCTTTTTGAAGATAGGAGTGACAGTTGCTTTCCTCCAGTCTTTGGGCACTTCTCCCAATCACCATTATCAATCAATGATTATCGAGAGTGGCCTTGCAATGACATCTGCCAGCTGCCTCAGCACTCATGGGGGCATCTCATCAGGGAACTAGACCTGGATAAAAAGTTGCTGAGGGGTTTCCTAGTCAAGAAAAAATGTCATTGCCTAGCAAGATGTGAATCCTATAAATATGAGAGCTTTGATCACTACTTTGAATTATCTTTGAGTGAACATTCAAATGCCTGTATTGCAGACTCACTTGCACATGGTGCACTAAATAGATTGCCACAGATAGCAGAGTGGTCTGCTGGGTAAAGTAGAGGTTGCTTCTTGCAGAGGAAGAACCATTCAGGCAGAGTAAGGAATACTGAAATGTTTTCAGTAGGGATGATGCCAAAAAAAGCTGCTTGGGTTTTTTTTTTAAAAGCAGAGAATTTTCTCTTTTAAACAGTTCACAGAGACACAGAAAAAAAATTCTTATGCCTGCTGCAGCTGCATCCAACCAAAAAGGATATTTGTTTTCACAGCACAGATGTTTATCCCCCAAATGTGGAAAAATTTCACTGCTTTAACATTTCTGAAGAACGTTTTCAGAAATGGTGTTTCAGAGAAGAGTGAAATTTCCCATTTAGGTCAGTCAGATGAAGGTCAATGAGAGGATAATAAAGCACAGAGCAGATGACCCATTTTTCCATGGTCATAATTTTTTGACATGCCAACAAGCAAAAGGTGAAATTATGGCAAATTAGAACTTTGAAAACTCCACTGATTCACTGTGCTCCATTATAAGCTTGCATATATTGAATTGTAGTGGTTTTAGCATGTGTGTTAGAGCTTGAAGAGGCTTACATTAAATGTGCAAGGAAGAAGCAGGCGAGTTGTTTCATCATAGAAGGTTATCAAGTTAGTCAAGCATGACTTCCCATTGGTGAATCCTTTCTGAGTACTCCCGATGATTTTCCTCTTCTTCCTGTGCCTGGAAATGGTTTCCAGGATTACCTTCTCTATCACCTTCCAGGGATTGAGTTGAGGCTGACTAGTCTGTAGTTCCCTGGGTCTTCCTTGCCCTTTTTGAAGATAGGAGTGACAGTTGCTTTCCTCCAGTCTTTGGGCACTTCTCCCAATCACCATTATCAATCAATGATTATCGAGAGTGGCCTTGCAATGACATCTGCCAGCTGCCTCAGCACTCATGGGGGCATCTCATCAGGGAACTAGACCTGGATAAAAAGTTGCTGAGGGGTTTCCTAGTCAAGAAAAAATGTCATTGCCTAGCAAGATGTGAATCCTATAAATATGAGAGCTTTGATCACTACTTTGAATTATCTTTGAGTGAACATTCAAATGCCTGTATTGCAGACTCACTTGCACATGGTGCACTAAATAGATTGCCACAGATAGCAGAGTGGTCTGCTGGGTAAAGTAGAGGTTGCTTCTTGCAGAGGAAGAACCATTCAGGCAGAGTAAGGAATACTGAAATGTTTTCAGTAGGGATGATGCCAAAAAAAGCTGCTTGGGTTTTTTTTTTAAAAGCAGAGAATTTTCTCTTTTAAACAGTTCACAGAGACACAGAAAAAAAATTCTTATGCCTGCTGCAGCTGCATCCAACCAAAAAGGATATTTGTTTTCACAGCACAGATGTTTATCCCCCAAATGTGGAAAAATTTCACTGCTTTAACATTTCTGAAGAACGTTTTCAGAAATGGTGTTTCAGAGAAGAGTGAAATTTCCCATTTAGGTCAGTCAGATGAAGGTCAATGAGAGGATAATAAAGCACAGAGCAGATGACCCATTTTTCCATGGTCATAATTTTTTGACATGCCAACAAGCAAAAGGTGAAATTATGGCAAATTAGAACTTTGAAAACTCCACTGATTCACTGTGCTCCATTATAAGCTTGCATATATTGAATTGTAGTGGTTTTAGCATGTGTGTTAGAGCTTGAAGAGGCTTACATTAAATGTGCAAGGAAGAAGAGCAAGTCTTTGCATTGCTGGCAGTGGTGGGGCATTACTACAACTGATCATATTTTACAGGACAACTTAACTGTAACTTATGGAATAAAAAATGTCTCTATATGACCCCTCCTAAATTTCTTGTATATTACATACAAAAAAGGTGACCTAATGGTACACATGTGCAATACAGTGATGCAGAGACAATTCTGTGCTCACTAGGAACAAAGTGTATTTTAAAATTACTCCCCGTCATTTTCTTCTTCAAGTGAGTCAGTTCCCACTTCTTCATAGTCTTTCTCCAGGGCAGCCAGGTCCTCTCGGGCCTCTGCAAATTCTCCCTCCTCCATGCCTTCACCCACATACCAGTGCACAAAAGCTCTCTTGGCGTACATCAGATCAAACTTGTGGTCGAGCCTTGCCCAAGCCTCTGCAATGGCTGTGGTGTTGCTCAGCATGCAGACTGCTCGCTGAACTTGGGCTAGGTCTCCACCAGGAACTACTGTAGGAGGCTGGTAGTTGATCCCAACCTGGAAAATGGAATGAGAGAAGACTGTAAAAAAGCAAGAGCAGAAAGCAATCAGAGAGCTGACAAAAAGTGAGTTAAGTTACATATGCTGGGGTAGAGTGGTGCCACTATCAAAACTACCAGATGGCAAATTCCATAAAAAATAATAACATCCTAAAGAGTAGGATACGTGGTCATTTTAATGTCATAGCTTTCTTAACAGCTACTCAGCACTGAACATACAGTGTCACCAAGATACTCTATAGAATCTAATACAGACAGTTGGTTCCCAGATAAAAGATTTCATTCTTAAACCAGTTATTTGTATAGAATCATAGAATCATAGAATGTTTTGGGTTGGAAGGGACCCCTAGAGGTCATCTAGTCCAACCCCCCTGCAGGAGCAAGGACACCGCTAACTAGATCAGGCTGCTCAGAGCCCCATCCAACCTGGCCTTCAATGTTTCCAGGGATGGGGCCTCCACCACCTCTCTGGGCAACCTGTTCCAGT